AGATCTTTGGATCACTGTTCTATGTATCTTAGACGTAATTTTTTGAAGTATCGTATGGACTTATTCGATTTTGATCATTTTTTTATGTGTTTTAAACATCACATATACCATCATTTCATTAGTTAATTAGATATATTTTTTTTTTCATTTTTTTTTAACTTTTCTGTTCGAATTTTTTTTTACATTTCAGTTTTTGTTTTTTTTTGAAACAACATTCCATTACTTTTTAAATAGTTTCAATTTTTTGTTTCTTTTAACATTTTTGTTAGATTTTTTCTAAATTTCAGAAACATAAGAAATGGTAAACACTAAGAGATGTAGATTCCATTTTTTTCATAAAAAATGTTTTTGTAATTTTTTTAAAACTTTCGTTATATAGAATTTGAAAAACGGTTTGATTGACAATGAAATTAAAAATTAAACCAAAATAATTTTGACTAGATTGGGTTAAGTTTTTTTAAACATCATTAGATAAGAACCAATAAAAAAAATGAAACGTAATTGCAAAATAGGGTTAAACAGTCTTTTTTATAGCCGAAATTCATTATGGAGTTGATACGTAAGCGAAACACTGTGAAATTTGGTGTGAGCGCGACACATCAGCAAATCACTACACAAATAAGTATATAGATATCTATATGTTCTTGAACTGGTGTAGATTTTTGAAAAGTGTTTGGTTGTTGTTTTTCATAAACTCATTAATCAAGTTTAGAAACATTTAAATTTCCTACAATAAAGAAATTCTTCTTTATAAAAATTCAATTCAAACATTTGGATTTATGTTAATCCTAAAAGCTTTTAAATTTTTTTTTCTTAACCATTTTTATGCAAATACCAAAAACTTTAAGAAAATCTAAACCAAAATTTATCGGAAAGTTTTTATACTATAATGAGAGATTTTTGGTTCGAGATTTATTGTTACCATTCATATTATTTGAGAGACATCTTTTTCAGAAAGTCTAAAAAAGATATATAAATAAATTTCTCCCCTTTTAATAACCCATAGAAAAAAACCTGTGAAGAAAAAAAAAACATCACAACTTTACATTAATTTGAAAAATTGTGGTAAAAAGAAGGAACGTAAGAATGAAATAAAAAGTAATAATTTGGGTTTATTTTATTTTATTATAACTTTTCATTTCCCTCTTATATTTCCCTCATAACTCTTCTTAAATACGACTATAAGTTTTTACCATTCACACCCTCTAACTATATCAGTTTTTAGTTACAACTATGAACAACTCATTTTGCTTATAAATGTATTTTTTAATTTGCTGCAAATAAATAGTTATGCAAGTATTTAAAGTCTGGAAAGGAGCCGGATATCCGGACTTTTCAAAGTATCCGGATCCGGATCCGTTTCCGCTGGATAATCAATTTTACTATTCGGATCCGGATTTTATAGACAAACGCTTGTGTATTCCGCAGGGTTCTATGAGAGAGCTAGTGCTTAGTGAAGCACACCGTGGAGGCTTAATGGGATACTCTGGGGTGGATAAAACCTTAGCTGTTATGATGGACCATTTCTATTGGCCTCACATGAAGAAAGACGTGGAAAGGTTTTGCTCAAGATGCATACAATGCCGTCAAGCCAAATCCAGGTTACATCCTCCCGGTCTCTATATGCCTTTACCTATACCTAACGCCGCTTGGGTAGATATTTCGATGGACTTTGTACTAGGATTGCCTAAGATCAGGCACAAGGACTCCATCTTTGTTGTCATCGATAGGTTCTCCAAGATGGCACACTTTATCCCGTGTGAAAAGACAAATGATGTAACGCAAATTCCTAACTTGTTCTTCAAGGAGGCTGTGCGTCTGCATGGTATTCCAAGAACCATCATATCAGACCGTGACACGAAGTTCCTTAGTCACTTCTGGCAAACATTATGGAAGAAACTAGTTACCAAGTTATTAATCTCCACCACGTGCCACCCACAAACTGATAGGCAGTAGAAGTGGTAAACCAAACCTTATCCACACTACTTAGAGCTGCTATTGTTAAAAATATGAGTACTTGGCTTGATTGTATTCCTTTTGTGGAATTTGCTTACAACCGCATAAGGCATTCAGCTACTAAACTGTCACCTTTCGAGGTTGACTATGGCACTAACCCTTTGTCTCCAGTGGATCTTCGACCTATAGCACAGGTAGAACAGGCCAATCTCAATGGATTATGGCATGGAGAACTTTTTAAAAAGTTAAATGAGACGGCAAGGACAAATATAGAGAAGAAAACTGATGTTTACAAAAAGGCCACAGACAAAGGCAGAAAAGATGTCACCTTCGAACCTGGAGATTGGGTGTGGCTACACATGAGACCTGAAAGATTTCCAGGCTGACGTGCTTCTAAACTTTCTCCGTGAGGCGATGGGCCTTTCAAAGTTTTAAGCAAGATCAACAATAATGCGTATCGTTTAGATCTCCCAGGTGAGTATAACATTTCACATACTTTCAATGTGGCTGATTTATCTTACTTCGATGAAGGTGAAGAAGAAGTTTTGGGGTCAAAACCTTTAGAAGAGGGAGGGAATGATGTGGACATCGACCTTAAGTGCTTACCGGATCTAATGTCAACGGTCAAAGAAGGAGCCATGACTCATTCCAAGATCAAACAACTCAGGAACAGATACAAAAGAGCATTGCACACCTTCATAAACTCGTTAGAGCCAGACGATCCGATATTACTGAATTTGAATGTTATACACGGCATAAATGACCATTTCTGCCAAACCGGAGCCGAAGACTTGGGAATCAGAAATGACCCACCAGACGATCAAATCTTGATGCTAAGAGAATCAAGGGTTACTTCTAGCTTCACGTTTTAAATTTATAACCCTAAATATCTGCAAGTGCACAGATGTACGCTATAGTATTTAGGGGTCGAACCAAAGAGATTTTGAGCTTTCAGCACGAATCAATCAAGACTTAAGACAAGTAGAACAAGCAAAATGGGAGTTTTTGGTTTTGGGGTCACTAAATCTAAAAGCAATTGAAATAAACAAGTCGTAAAACAATAGGAACAAATCGTTGGGTCTAAAGGGTTTTCGAAGGGGTTCATGAACTGATCCAAAGTCAAACAAATTGATAAAGGTAATCAACTAGTGAGGATCCTGAACTCAAATAGACACATGTAAGATTAGCCAACTCTCGTCACTTTAATCATCTAATCACTCAACACAGCAATTAACTCTCGCTCTCATGCTGCAAATAAGATCATGCATTAAAAACAGAATTCATCCACGCTCGCGATTCTCTATAGGTAGCTTTCGTCTCCTATAGCGATTTCGCTCGATCACTTCTAGGTCTGGTAATTCGATACAACACTCTCGTGGCCCCAATTACTTAGATCAATTTCTAAGCGGTTAGCAACAGAAACAGCATAGGGAACAAGAATGAACGAAGGACTCCTAGAAGATTATGAACCCTAAATCGAATAAAGCATATGATCAAGACATGCAATTCCCTTTGAAAAATCCCTTAAAAACCCAACTGGAAAATTACTCAGACATAGCTGAGTTCAACATCACAAAAGTATTTAGAATTGCAGAGAATTGAAATAGACAAAAATTTGAAACGAAGAACAGGTTGAAGCAGGAGATCCGATGGTGGTCCTCTTGGTGGCTCCTCTTCTAGGCGTGACTCTCTTCTAGGGTTTCTGGTGATAAATGTGGTATACCCCTCTAAACGACTTAAAAGGGGTTTATATAGTGTCTTGAGTCCTCAGGAACGCCTAGGGCTTGCAGGAATTATGACGGGAGTGACTTGGGCTTTAAAATTGGCTTTTGAGGCTCGGAATTAAGCTCCCCGTGGTCTAAAATTTCGCACCCCCGCCGGATGACGTTTTGGCCGCGGGTGAGCTTCTGACTGTGATGATTCGCCTTCAGTGTATCGACCATATTATGCTTTTTGTTCCCAAGTGCATTCCTTTTGTCAACATATCCTGAAAACTCTTTTAAATTCTAACACATAGAAATCACTGTGTGAGCCGAAACTTGCACAACCAAAAATTGGTTAAGGAAAACTTGAGGGATCCGAAATTTCTAGGGTTTATCGCAAGAACAGTAAGATCAAAAGTAGGTTTTTTGCTGGAAAAGTGTTTAAGTCTTATTGCTCTCGAGTTGTGGAAAGTTACAGAAGGAATCGTGTACATCGTATATTTATACTAATTCTCTAAACCGCCTAGCCGAGAATCTCGGAGAGATTTTCGGAATATTTCCTTATCACTTCGTGCGGCCACTGCCTTTGTATTTCGCCTGTGATTTTCTGTGGGCTTCATCCTCCTCGACCTTGATTCGGCCCATAGCAAATTAATCGGCTCGGCCCAATACAAAGGAAATTAGCTCGGCCCAACACGAAGGGACGCGGCTCGGCCCGCTTATTCTCCTCCACAGCTCGGCCAACTTATTATTCTCTGCAGTTCGTCCCACTGATTCTTCCTCTCACGGCTCGGCCCAAGCTATACCCAAAGTCACGAGACGGCTTGGCCCATACTCTCCTTTCTTCAATGGATCCGGCCCACTCTCGTACTTCTTTGCTATAGCTCGGCTCTCCTGAACACTTAGTCGTGATGAAGATGGTTTTATCCACTTGGGGTGAAACTGACCCCAACAGTTAGCCCCCCAGCTCGTCAATTTCGGAGACGAGAGTGACGAGGTTCATCACTCCTGGACATGGGATAAACCATCGAGCCAAGCAATCGCGTTTTAAGATAAGAGATGATGTCGAGCCGTTTTGTTAATGATGAGGCATTTTCAAAGGATGCCGAGTCGATGAGGCGTTTCCTAAAGATGCCGAGTCGACGAGGCGTTTTTCAAAGGATGCCGAACTGGTGAAGTGTTTTCGAAAGGATGCCAAGCCGACGAGACATTTTCAGGGAACACCGAGCTGACGAGGCATTTTTGCGAGAATGATACCGAGCCATGTTTATGGTAACGACGAGGCGTTTTTGCGAGAACGATACCAAGCTGTGTTTATGATAACGACAAGGCGTTTTCAAAATGATGCTGAGGCGTGTTAATGTTAACGACGAGGCGATTCTGTTTGATAACACTGAGCCGTGTTCCAAGGCAACAACGAGGCGATTTTGGTTGACACCGCTGAGCCGTGTTTCGAGGCAACGACGAGGTGATTTCAAAAGGATACCGAGCCGCGTTAATGTTAACGACTATGCGATTCTATTTGATAACGCCGAGCCGTGTTTCAAGGTAATGAAAAGGCGAATGCTTCGACTAGCTCGTCTCACGGTCCTTCTCCTTCCCGAGGCGAGGTCGATATTTTCGCAATAAAAGCCAAAGATGAGGTTTTCCCGTTTGACCCGTCGAGGCGAAGCGCAAATTAGAGCTCCTTGTAGCGAACTGTGGTGCTTCGGGACGTTTGAGACCTCGGAAAAAGAAGAGACAGAGACCCAATCCGCCTGGCTCATCTTTATCCTCAGCGGAATCTTTGGAAGCTCTGCGCATCCGTTTCGGGATCTCGGAGGTGGTAGTGTTCGTCATGCCGAGCCCAACCGATCGTGCTAAGCTTCTGCCTCCAAATCACTTGACGGTATATGAGAGTTTTTTCAAACTTTGCTATCTCTGGTTTCTAATTCCCGAGGTGATTCTCAGATACCTCTGGAAGCATGGAATTTCCATTGGTCAGATCGTGCCGAGGGGCCTGCGTCACATGATCGGGATTTTAGTGCTGAGTTTTGAGTGTCATATCGACGTCACTCTTGATCATTTGCTGAATTTCTTGGAGATTCGCAAAGCTCCTGAAGAGAAGAGGTTCTATATCTCGAGCAAGGCCCGACACAAAATTATATGTGGTTTTCCGAGCAAAGATTTTTTCTGGGATGATCGCTTCTTCTACGTTCTCGTTAACGAGGCGTCGGTTGGTGACTTTGCCGACATTACCAAGATCGATTGGGGACCACTTGGTAGCCGATCTGACGTTTCGTCTCGGCTCGGAATCTATATCATGTGTCGATTCCTGACTATTCTTTCTTGTTTTCTTTTGTTTTGCAGTTCGGAGCATCCTTCCACCAGTCCTCGAGGATTTGTTTGACGTTCGAGATGCGTTAGCAGCTTGGAAGAATAACTGGAAGCGCCATTTTTCGCTTGAAAGAGTCGAAAGAGCTCGATCAATATTAGCTGGAGTTCCGGTCTGTTCAGGCTCGTCGAACTCTTCCGGAGATACTGGGGAGAAGATGGTTATTGTGACACTTAGGGAAAGGAAGAGAAGGGAGGCCGAGGCGGCTGCAAAACGAGCCGAGGAGGCTGATCAGCAAGCCGAGGAGGCTACTTAAAGAGCAGAGGAGGCTCCGAAACAGGTTGACGGTGAAACTCATGTGGAGCCGCAACTTGGTGACCAAGGGAGCAAATAGAAATGTGTCAAGCAGGGAGACATAGTTTCAGAGGCGTCGACGAACGCGTTGAGCGAGCCACAGGAGTCGGCTGTACCAACAGCCTCGGCAGTGCTTGCTCTTCCTCAATCGAGGCCAACTGCCTCGTATTTGATCGGTCACAAGGCGTCCAATTGCAAGTGTACTGCAGTTGAGAAGGGCAAAGGTCTCACCGCTCCAAAGCCTTCGAAAAAGAAAACGAGGCGAGTTAATGACGAGCCGGTCGAGAGGAAGCTTATTATTGACGATCCGGTTGCCTCGGCGCGGTTATTTGCAAAGGTGAATAGTGCTGACGTTTCATTCCCGCCTCCCGAGAAATTTAGGCGATCTAAGCCTTATGCTGCCATGGCTCAACGCGAGACGAAGGTATGCATTTTCCTGTTTTGAAGCTTTTTTCGTCTCTCGTCTTTTGATCTTGCTAAGCCACTAACGTCTCGAGGCGTGTATTTTTTTATTAGTTCAACGCTGCCATAAACGAGTTGATGGCCGGTTACGAAGCTGATGCAGTAAAGATCGAGCGTGGTTTGGAAAAGGCATAGCAAGCTGATCTCGAGAAAGCTTCAAGTGATACCTCCTGAGCGCAATCCCGCGTCGTCGCGCTGGAGGACGAGAAAAAGGCTTTGAAGGCTGAGTATGATAGGCTGGTCTCCCGTTTTGAGGAGTCTCGGGTCCGGAAAAACAATGAGATTTCTTCTCTGAAGAGGCAGATTGAGGCGAAGGATGCCCTCTTTGAGTCGAAAGTGAAGATAGCTAAGAAGGAGGCTTGGCGCGAGGCAGCAGCCAAATTCCAGGAACGTTTTTCTAAGATTGAAAAGAAGATGGAAGAGCTGGAGAAAGCTAAGCGTGACGAGAATGATCTTGGTCAGATTAGGAGCAACCTCGTACTAATCAGTGATCTCAGGAAGCCCGACGCCACTCTTGACGCCGAAGAAGAAAAGCTAAAGACATGGGAGGCCGAGGTAATTGGGGCGGAAGAGAGATTTGAGCGCATCGCGACCGATCGTAGGGGAGAGCTTGTTGTTAGTCCAGTTTCCCGGACTCTGTTGATTCTCGTCTCGGGGTCGAGCCATTGGAGGTTTCCGCCGCTGCAGTCGGTGTTGTGGATCCGACGGGTTCAAACATCAACACCCTGAGGGCTAGTGATCTTGCAGCTGAGGGCATCTCCGACACTCACCGAGAGTGATAGTTTTTGGTGTTCTTGACTATGTACCGGATTATCTTATTCCTTTGTGCCTGGATGGCTTTATCCATACTTGTCGGCTCGTTTGTTTTTGCTTTTGAACCTTGTGCCTGGACAGAATTATCCACTTGACTATTGAACTCAAGCTTATATGATAATGATTTTGTCTGTCTCTTTTTTAGAATTTCTGGTTTTGACTTAATCATTTCGCGAGAAGTATTTGTTCCGAACGTTTTTGAGAAAATTTATTGTCAAACGTGGGTGTTTTCACGTAGTTTGTCGAGCCGGGCCAGGGATGCGTTTGTTTTCTTTCCTGGCCAAGCTGTTCTAAAAAATTGATGGAGTGTCTCAAATAAAAACAGGCTGTTTTCATATTCTAGCTATCAAATGGATCCTATAAAATGTCTAAGGAGCAGCGTTCCCGAGCTGGGAGGTGTTTTATTTATGGTGTTGACTTTGAGAAGAGGACCAATGTTATTTATGGTGTTGACAGTCTATGCCGAGGCGCTGAGTCATAAGGTATTACGAGGTGTTTTAAATCGACTAGGTTTTTACTTATCAGCATGTTGGACTTGGATTTCTTAAAATCCAAACCGATAGCTTTAGATCGGTGTTCCCGAGAGGCTGAGTGTACTTTACTGGGTTTTAAGAAGTCACTTTGGTTTTAGAGAAAGCGATGTAGTCTCGTCTTATAATCTCGTGTGCGACAGTAAACTATGGCGAGTGATACGTTTTTGGTCTGAATTTTGTATAGCGCGCTTAATTTTTATCCATAGAGGATGTAACTTGCACCCTCGTCCTAGGAGAGATGGTAAAAATCCATTTAAAGAACTTCGTGATTGTTGTCTCGTTGTGGCCAGCAACGAGACGAGGTGTTCAAAGCTAACGATCAAGAAGTTTACCGAAACGAATGCAAGGACAAGTAAAAGTCTAGACGAAGTGAAAACAAGTGAATAAGTGAATGAAAACAAGTTTCTCAAAAATTGCCGAAGTGAAAATAAGTGTGAAAAACTAGCCGAAGTGAAAATGATCTTAGACACAGTAGAATCGACAAGCTAAAAATCTTAAAAATCTAAAAATCTTTTTAGGAGGGGGGACAGCTGAAACTGTCCGAGGATGGGCTGCCTACGTACCATTTGCAGGGATCAAGCCGTCTCGTAGTTCATGTTGGTCGTGTTGTATCCTTAGTGATATAATACTTCTTCAGCTGCATTGTGTTCCATGATCTTGGAATTGCTTCGTCAGCTATCGTCGCAAGTTCATAGACTCCTGGACGAACTACTTTCGTGAGCTTGTAGGGGCCTTCCCAATTTTCTCCGAGCTTCCCTGCATTCCTCTCGGCAGTGTTTTGGAAAACCTTTCTAAGGACGAGCTCTCCTTCTTTAAACCTTCGACTGCGAACATTTTTGTTGTAGTACATCGTTGTTGCTTGTTGGTAGTTCTGAACTCGGATTAAGGTTTGGTCGCGCCTTTCGTTGACTAAGTCGAGGTCATCCAGCATCATTAGGTGGTTCAAACCTTCCTGTCCTGGCAAAAGTCTTTGTCGCATTTCGGGGAAATCCACCTCGGGAGGGATCACACATTCTGTTCCATAGACGAGGGCAAATGGGGTTTCTCCGGTGGCTCGGCATGGAGTCGTTCAATGCGACCAAAGGACTCCTTCGAGTTCATCTGTCCATCGTCCCTTCTTGGCGTCGAGCCTCTTTTTCAGGCCATCTAGGATTGTCTTGTTAGCTGCTTTGGCTTGTCCATTCCCTTGGGGATACCTTGGCGTGGATTTGCTCAGACGAATTTTCCATTTCTCGCAGAAAGCTTCGAAGCGAGTTGAGATGAACTGAAATCCGTTGTCGGTGACTATCTCGTAGGGAACCCTGTGTCGGCAAATGATATTTTTTCAAACAAAGTGTTCGACCTGAGCATCCTTTATGCTTGCGTAGGAGTCGGCCTCGACCCATTTGGAGAAGTAGTCAGTAAGGACGAGCAGAAAACGCTTCTGGTTTGATCGATGTACAGGCCCGACTATGTCTATCGACCATCTCATGAAAGGATAAGGCAACGAAATTGAGGATAACAGCTCGGTTGGTTGATATATTGTAGGCGCGTGTCATTTACATTTCTCGCACTTCGTAGTGAACTTCTCGCAGTCCTTGACCATCGTGGGCCAGAAGTATCCATGCCATTTTATCTTGATCGCAAGTGACCTTCCACGAGAGTGATTTCCACACGCTACGCTATGCACCTCGTGCATTATTTTTCTTGCTTCAAGTCCTTCGACACACGTCATTAGTGGTCATGAAAACCTCCACTTGAACACCTCACTATCGACGAGGACGTATCGTGCGGCTTGAGCCTTTAATTTGCAGCCTCCCACTTGTTGGGTGGAACTTTTTCGTCGGCGATTTAGACTTGAATTGCTACGAGCCATTCTTTGTCGCAGCGATACTCCAGCTCGGCTGACGAGGCGTCTTCTTCCATTGCAATCGCTTCGTTGTTATCTGGCTCTTCTTCCGGAGGGTTGATTAGTCGAACTCCTGCTACTTTCTCTATACTCGGCCGTTCAATGAATTCGACCAGAATTGTTTATCGGAGATCCGGATCCGAGGCCGAGTCGAGTACTGCTAAGGCGTCCGCCGAGGTGTGTTTGCCTCGGGGTATTCGCGTGAGCTCGTCGAACGTTTCTACTAAGCCTTGGACTACTCTAAGGTAAGCTCCCATTCTTCCATCCTTCGCCTCGTATTCTCTGTTAAATTGGTTTGCTACGAGCTGTGAGTCACAAAAGGCTCTTATTTTCCGCACTTTGATTTCTTGTGCTAGTCGTAGGCCAGCGATTAATGCTTCGTACTCTGCTTCGTTGTTCGAGGCGTGGAAATTCAGGAAGAAGGACTGTTCCAAGATCTCTCCGGTTGGCGAGGTGAGGCAAATTCCTATTCCCGAGCCATGTTTTGATGATGAGCCGTCGACATGCAGTGTCCTAAGTTCATCAGGAGTCGGCTCGATTGTTGCCTCAGCTGGAAGTTCAACAAGGAAATCTGCGAGGACCTAGGATTTTGCGGACGACCTATTCTGAAACTCGATATCATACTCGCTTAACCCGATGGCCCATTTTGCGAGCCGCCCAGACTAGCTCGGGGTATGCAGGATCGAGCGCCGCGGAGAGGTTGCGAGCACAATAATCGAATGTGATTGAAAATAAGGATGCAGCTTGCGAGCCGATACTACGACGGCTAGGGTGACCTTCTCAATCTGTGGGTAACGAGTCTCGGCATCGGTCAATGTCTGACTCATATAGAAGATGGGTTTTTGTTCAGACCGCTCCTCTCTTATCAACACTCTACTGACAGCCGTAGCGGATACATCAACGTAGAGGAAGAGGGGTTCTCCCTCTACTGGCTTCGCCAATACCGGCGAACTTGCTAAATATTTCTTCAACTCCTGGAAAGCTGCTTCGCATTGCTCGTCCCACTCGAAATTCTTATTTCCTCGGAGGATATCATAGAAAGGGAGACACCTGTCGGTATATCGCGAGATGAACTGGTTTAGCGTAGCGACTCTCCCTGTGAGCCTTTGAACTTCTCGCTTCGTTCTTGGAGAGGGCATCTCGATAAACGCCTTGATCTGCTTGGGGTTTGCTTCAATGCCTCGGTGTGTTACCAAATAGCCGAGGAACTCTCCCAAGGTGACCGCGAATCTACACTTTGCCAAGTTTAGTTTCATATGTTGTGTTTGTTTAGTTGCTCGAAGCATTCCCATAGGTGCGCGATATGGTCTTTTTCTTCGAGTGATTTGACCAGCATATCGTCGATGTACACCTCCATGGTTTTTCTGAGCTGATCTGCAAACATCTTATTGACGAGCCGTTAATACGTTGCCCCAGCATTTTTGAGTCTGAATGGCATGACTTTATAGCATTAATATATTCTGCGGTCGGTAATGAACACCGTTTTTTCTCTGTCGTCGGGGTGCATCAGGATTTGGTTGTAACCTGAAAACGCGTCCATGAATGTCAACAACGTGTTTCCTGCTGTAGCTTCGACGAGTCGGTCGATATGCGGTAGAGGGAAACTGTCTTTTCGGCATGCCTTGTTGAGATCTGTGAAGTCTACGCAGACTCGCTACTTGCCATTTTTCTTCTTTACTACCACCGGGTTTGCGAGGCAGTCCAGGTATTTCACCTCGGCGATCGACCCTACTTTGAGCAGCTTTTCTACTTCGTCGTTGACAGCTTTAGCTCGTTCAAGGCCGAGCTTCCTCCTTTTCTGCTTGATTGGTTTGAAGGTCGGGTCTACATTTAGCTCGTGACAGGTCACGTCGATGCTTATGCATGTCATGTCCTCTGTGGTCCAGGCAAAAGTGTTGATATTTTCCTTGAGGAAGGAGAGGAGTTCGTTCTTGAGAGGTTCTCCCAGCTCAACTCTGATCTCCACGCACCTCTTTGGATGCGCTTCGTCTATGCACACCGAGTCTACCGCATCACATACTAGGTCGGTGCGTGTTTCGCGGCTCTCCGTGATCTGTGATTGCTATAAGAGTTTAGAGAGCTCGTTTGCGGGCTCTAGATCTGTCTTCAGCTTCTTGCGATCCACATCTGCGTGTGCGTCGGTGACAGGGTTCTTCAATTTGTGCTCCATCAGGAACCACATTCGCGACTCCTTCTGATTTCCCCAAATCGTTTTGATGTCTGCTGGAGTTGGGAACTTGATGTAGAGGTGATAGGTGGAAGGGATTGCTTTCATTGCGTTTATCCATGGAATCCCCATGATCACATTGTAGATCGCTGGATGGTCGGTGACCGAGAATTCGATGATCTTAGTGACTCCACCAGCCACCACGGGAAGTCTGATTGTGCCCATAGTCATTGTTGTTTCTCCTGAAAATCTGGTTAGAGGCTTCGAGACAGCCGTCACTTCGGAGAGGTCGATTTCCATCCTTCTGAGTATCTCTCTAAAGATAACA